GATACCTATTAAGCCCATTTGAAGGTGTTGGTCTCCTGTGGTATTTCTTTGTTAATTTTTTGTTTAGTTTACCAGTCTATTAGTGAAACTGGGGTATGCAGGTCACTCACTATAGAAGGGCTAATCTTTATTTGATCTTTTATGTCTAATAGTGTTTGTTTTATAAAGTTAGGTGCACTGATATTGAGTGCATGTATACTTACAACTGTTATCTCTTCCTGTTGAAATGTTCTCTTAACTAATATGTAGTGACCTTCTTTGCCTCTTATCAGTTTTATATTGAAGTTTACTTTGAGAATAAAACTGCTACCCATGCTTGCTTTTAGGGATCCTGGTGCATGAAATATTGTTGTCCACCCTTTGCTTTTTAGTCAATAAATTTCTTTTTAGATTAGATAAGTGTCTTGAAATGCAACCTACTGCTGGGTTTTTTGTTTTTGGGTTTTGTTTTTTTGTTTTGTTTGGTTTTTTTGGTACTGGGGATTGAACTCAGGACTTTGTACTTTTAAGGCAGGCAGCAGCACCATTGAGCTAAATCCCCGGCATTTTTTGTTTTCTGATCCAGTGTGACAAACTGTGTCTTTTAATTGAACAGTTGAAGCCACTTACATCGAGAGTTATTACTGAAAGGAATTGACTTATTTATTCCTCTAATTGCATTCTTTTTTTCTGTTATTTTCTTTATTTTTTTTTCCATTTTGCCTTGCTTGATATATTCATGCTGTCTGACTTTTTTTACTTTCTTGACTTTGCTGTCTCTGTCTAGCACACTCTTGAGTATTTTTTGTTGTTCTGCTTTGGTGTTCATGAATTTCTTAAGGTGTTCTTTGTTGTAGAATGTCCTTATTTCTCCACTGATTTTGAAAGATAGTTTTGCAGAATATATTAGTCTGTGTTGAAAGTCATTTTCTTTTAGGGGTTGAAACACTTCATTCCAAGCTCTCTTGGCCTTTAAGTTTGGTTTTGAGAAATCTGTAATTCTTATGGGTCTGCCTTTATAAATCACTTGGTGATTATTTCTAACATTTTAAGAGTCTATGCTTGTGTTGGATCTCTGCAATTTTCACTATGACATGTTGTGGAGAAGTATTTTTCTGATCATGACTATTTGGAGTGCTATATCCCTCTCTTATCTGTTTATTGATTTATTACTCCATATTTAGAAAGTTTTCTTCTATTATTTCTGTAAACAGATTTCTTATTCTACGTGTGCTGTCCTCTAATTTCTCTCTAACTCCACTTAGCCTTGTGTTAGTCTTCTTAGTGTCATCTAGTAGCTATTGGGTGAATTTTTCTTACTCTCTTATCATTTTTAAGGTTTCTCTGAGTATACTATCATGTGATTCATTTTTTTAGATTTCTGAAACCCTTTCTTCATATCGGTAAATTCTGATGTTTATAAATTCAGTAGAATCCTTTGCCTGTGGGATTTCTGTTTGGCTACATTTTATTGAGTCTATTCTTTGGTAAATTTGTCACTTGTTTTGAAAAATTTTGGTCAGCTCTTCCAATTTTTTATTTCTTCCAATACTGCACTGGTCAGTTTGTTTGATATTTTCACTACCTTTTGGGATATGTCATCATTGAGTTTCCTGAGTGTCTTTGTTTCCTGTTTAATCATTTCCTATAGGTTGGCTCTCTGGTGTTTGTTTTCCTCCCCATCAGTGCTGCTTGGATCTGCTTAGGGAGAGTTGAGAGTCTTTGGAGGCATTTTGTTGTTCTTTTTTTGTGTGTTCCTTTGTGTGTGTGCTGAGGTATGAAGTCAAAAAGTGTGGAAAGAATTTTTTGTTGATATGAAGATCTCTTCATTTGTTTCTGTTTTTCAGTGATTTTTTCTTGACTTTATTGGTCAAGAGTTATTGTTAACCACTCCAACCTATTCAACTTAATTGGGTTGGACCCTGTCACTCTGCTGTAAGGAGAGAATTTCTGCTGGTTATAACAGTGTTGATAAATCCAACCATATGTCAATCACAAGTATTAAAACTTATTCTGAAAATTTTCACCCTTTTGCCAAAGGTGTCAAAGGGTGACACCTAATATAATTTGCAAACTATATTATAATCCTGTCCGTGGTTCATCTGGGATGTGAAAGGTAGGAGAAAGGAGTCACAACCTGATTATGAGCAGCCAAGCAGTTTCCCTGTGGACCTGTCATTGCCTGTCCAAAGCAGTGAGGGCCGTCACTCCCTCCAGACTTGTGTCCTGGTTGCAGGTTGTGCTCCAAGTGTGACCACCAAAAGCATCCATGGATCAGTTGCCTCAATAAATTTGAGAGGAAGAAAATGTGTCATTTGCCCATATCTGAGTTTTCAAGTTCTCTGTCAACTTCTGCCAGAGACCACACACACTCTTCCTTCCTTCAGAGCCTGGCAAAATTCATGGTTGTTTCTGCATCTTTCCTCCACAGCCCTTCCTGACCTAACAGATGGCCAGAAGACCTCTGCCCAGTCACTGTTCACTGCCTCTCTGCTTACAGACATCTGTCTGCCACAGTCCTGTCTGTGGTACCTGGGGCAGCCCCCGGCTTGGCAGAGTGGTAGGCAGGACTTCAGGCCATCTCAGTCCTTTCCACTGCATGCCATTTTATCCCTCTCCATTGACCTGCTTTTGTTTCTCTAAATCCCCACCTTGAAAGTGCTTCGTTCTTCATGCTGAGGAGGGAGGTCTATTCCATAAACCAAGTGCACACTCAAGGGCCAACTCCCTCCTTCAGTCTGAGCCTCTCCCAAGATGTCATTTATGTTAGTATGGTGAGGGCATTTGCCATAATACAGGAGTGGTGCAGCTTCCCCTCACACACCCTTTAAGTACTGGATTTTACTTCAGCTAGGTTCTGTTTTCATTTATCTTCCCCTATCAGACTTCATCTTTCACCCTCACTTCAAGATACCTGCCTTTCTCCAGTACCAATTTGGAGACACCATTACTGTCATTCCATAGGCAACCATCTTCTCTCTTTCAGGAAATACTTCTTTCCTTCATTTTGTCATGAAAAGGATTCCAAAGATCACTGACATGTTATAGGAAGGCAGACAGATGTCTGTGCTGTTGTAGGAATCCTTGTCTGTCACACAATAAAGATCAGTCAGGTCTATTTTTTTTAACATCACAAATACGTAACTAGCAGCACTAAGACAAGATTTTCTATTTCTCTTTCTCTTGCAGACTCAGGGAAAACCTACTTCCAAGTGAAAGAAGGTTTCAGACAAGCAAGGGTAATTTATCTAGCCAACATAAGCGAGGATGCTAAAGTGACTTACATGCTGTTGGCCCTAGGTAGGTATGACAGCCATGCCGTTTGGGGTAAGGAGGCAGGATTAATGAGTTCTTCGCAAACCTGCTATTATCAGGTTTATCCCTTGGTGGATAAAACTAAGAATGCTGCCCTATATTTATTCTGTCCAAACATCTTGGGTGAAACACAAAACTGCTGAGAAAGGAGCCCATATTCTTCCAGATTTTGGTATTCAGGAAAATAAATCCTTCTACCCTCCTCCCTGTATAATCCTTCCCTAATGAAGTAATTTAATTTAGGGAACTAAGTACTGGGCAGGAGATTTCTCTAAGTGGTTCATATGACTTATGGCTTTACTTTTAGGTTGTTACCCTGAAGAAATAAAAAGGCATTTCACACATCCCCTGCCCATGGATGTCTATGACACCTCTATTCATTAACCACAACAACTGGAAACTACCTAAATAATCTTTAGTGGCTGGGTGGATAACCAACATCTTCCCTATCCATGAAGTAAAATGTTAGTAGGAATGCACCACTGAGGCACTCCTCCACAGGGGTGAAACTCAATGCATCACACTAAAAGAAAGACTGTAGAGGCACAAAAGCTACACCTTGGGTGGCTCCACTCACCTGCTGTTCTGGAAAAGACAAAACTGTAGAGAGAGAAAACGAGTCAGACCAAGGAAGTGTATGGCCACGGAGACAGCTCAGGGGAAATGGGCAGGGATGGAATTCACACATGCGTTTTCCAAACACAGACTCTGTGTTTGTCAGAACTTGCAGAAATTCTTCCTGAGAAGAGTGAATTTCATTATATGCAAATTCAAAACAGAAGTTTGGAACCATTGGAAATGACATGATACAGTAAACTCATTGACGCCAGCCAGTTGTAATGATTATCTCAAACAGGAATTTGACATTTCTTCAGGTCTCCACAGCAGAGTTAAGCATAAATGAATGCTCTAATTCAGTGGTTCTCAAAATTGTCCCCACAATGAATCACCTAGGCAGGTTAATCATAGTAAAATACACACAACATAAAAGTTACTATTTTAACCATTTGAAAGTGTACAATTTAGCCACATTTAATAATTCACAATGTTGTGTAAGCATCAACTTTTTCCAGTTTCAAAACCTTTTCATCACCCCAAAAGAGACTCTGTGCCCATCATGCACTCACCCCCGATTGTCCCTCCCTCAGTCTAGCAACCACTGTTCTGCCCCCTCTCTCCACAGGTTGGCTTACTCTGGACATTTCATAGAAAGGGAATTGTACAGTAAGTGGCCTGTGTTTCTGGCTTCTTTCACTTGGCAAAATATTACCAAGGTTTACCCATGTAGCATGTAGCAATACTTCATTTATTTTATTTAAAACCACATTTGTGTGTCCATCCATTTACTCATTCATGAACCCTTCAGTTCCTTCCATCATTTTCCTATTGTGAGTAATGCTACCATAAGCATGGAAGGGTAGACATCTCTTCAACATCCTGATTTCCTTACCTTTGGATATATACCTGGTAGTGGGGATTCTGAATGTGCGAATGACTCAAATCCCAAATTTCCCACAGGACATATGAGATATTCTCTTTAGTGTTCAGATTTTTGAAAAATTGAGAAGTAATTGCTATCGCAGGTAAGATCATCCATAAACTATAACATTTCCTCATGGAGCTGAGAGTGCCCCTGGTAAATGTCTAACTTGTTCCTCCCAGCTGGGGACAAAGACCCAAGGGTCAGTTACTGGGGATTTGCTGCAGGAGACAAGAAGAGTAACTGACGCCTATTCTGTTGTCCTGACCTCCCTGTCCATGAGCTGTGGCACCTTTGCCTTTCCTCAGAACATGTAGCCTCAATTTAGAAGGAGCTCCGTAAAGAAGGAGCTTGCATGCTTCTGGAAATCAAAATGGAAAATGAAAGGCAGGCCACCACACCCCTGAACTGCTCAAACATGCATGGCTTTCTCTATTGTCCTCAGCCTAAGTGCTGCCTTTCTCTTAAAATCAATGTTCTGTTCCATTTCTACTAAATAACCATATGGAATTTTCTCTCCTAATTCAAGCCCCAGTCCAAGACCACGATCTGGCCCCTGGTGACTATATGTATTTTAAAAAAAAAATTAAAGACCTGGAAATTCCAGAGAAAAATCTTATTAAAATTACTGGAACAGGTAAGTCAATGTCCTCCTTTTAGTGTACTGTTTGTTCAATAAGAAAATGTGATGTTAAAATGTAAATTGATCTACACTGGATGATATATTTATGTCTTAAATGGAGGGAAAAAATCATTCACCATGTCATCTCTCTTTCAGATACATGTCCCCGTGACAGAAATTAGGTAAGTGGATATCCATTTAACAGATTCTTCTGAATTCTATTAGTAGGTAAGGGAGTCTGATAACCAAGGGTCAACTCAGAGATTCTCGGTCCATCAGTGACATTGTCAGACTTCTCGCCAAAAGTTGTTATCCACTTCTTACCCAAATAACTGAATTTTTACCATCAAGAGAAATTCTTGAATTTATCATGGTCTTCAATTTCCCATTCCTAAAGAAATATTTTTTTAGCCACAGAGAAAAATACAGATTTTGTTTATTAGTGGCTCCCTGTGGCTCCATATTTAGATGAGAACTTTAGAGAGTTAGATTTTTTTTTTCTCTCTGCAGTTCTGAGAACTTCTGGGTGTTGTACATGCTAAACAAGTGTTCTACTTGTGAATTTCATAAAATGAATTGGAGGAGGGGAGATTGAAAGTTACACAGGCTCAGTAGCCCTTCAGATTTTAGTTGTGACTACTGTGTGCCCGTAAATTATCAATGGCTATGGGAAGAGATTGAGGAAAGAAATAACAAACAGGTAATTTTTCACCCAAGGAATTAGTAAGTGCCAGAACTTCTTCTAGAAGGTGTACATGTAAATACTGGTGGACAGACAGATGTAGAGTTACATAGATAAATGATACAATGTAACTATAAGTTATATGCCACATTTTTATTGATTGATGAAGTCAAAAAATTGAGGTGCAGGCCCTGAGGAAGGGGTAGCAAGTACCATGTCCGGCCATAAAAGTGGTAAAAGGAAGGTCCTGAGAATATGCAAGAAGCAGGCCAGGGAGATGGATGAGTAATGTAAGACTTTCAAACAGAAACTGTAAGAGGAACAGAAGAAACTCCAAGACCTCAAAGCTCAGGTCACAAGAAAGAAACTTGGCCACAGGCAGAATTAAGAAACATGGCAAAAAGTAAGCAGCTCATTCTGCCTGAGTTGAGGGTGACCCTTAATTTTCTTCCTGTATAAATATCTGAATTACCTGCCATCTTGGGTCATCTGTAGCAAGAATGGCGTATTGTCTTGAACCGTGCTATATATTTAAGAATATACTTTTTTAAAAAATCAGAGGCAAAAGTAAAAGGCAGAATAAAAGGAAGGAAGAAGGAAGGAAGGAAGGAGGGAGGGAGGGAGGGAAGGAAGGAAGGAAGGAAGGAAGGAAGGAAGAAAGGAAGGAAGGAAAGACGCAAGCAGGCAGATCCCATCTCCAAAAAATGTACCTCCCTGTTTCCTATCGATTCTCTATTCTTTAATTTATTTGTATTACTGATTCCTCACAGAAGCGAAACCATACAATATTTAATCATCCAAGAAAAAACAGGAAAAAAAACTATTTAACCTTCCATGTCAGATTTCTTTCACTTAATATTATGATCTCAAGATCCATCCAATTTCCTATAAATTACTCAAATTTACCCTTCTTATGTCAGAGTAAACTTAATTGTCCATATATACTACAACTTCTTTATCATTATATCCATCCATGGGCACTTAGACTATTTCTATAATTTTTTGTTTGTTTGTTTTTCTTTTTCTTTTTTTGAGACAGGATCTCACTATGTAGTTTAGGCTGACCTTGAACTCACAGCGATTCTTCTGCCTAGCCTCCCAAGTGCTGGAATTACAGGTGCCACCAAGGTCTATTTCCATTATTTAAGTATTGTGAAATTGTGCTGTGTTGTAAGTTGTCTCTTCCCTCTTGGTTATTCCTTTTCCTGAGTGAAAGATTTTTCATTTTATATAATCTTGTTTATTGATTCTTGGTATTATATCTAATGCAGTTCAGGGCTTTGTTCAGAAAGTCTTTGCCTGTGTCTTGTGTTCAAAAGTTTTACAATTTTTTCTTTGAGCAAATTTAGTATTTCTGTTTTTGTATCTAGGTCTTTGTTCCATTTTGATTTGTTTTACAGTATGGGATGAGAGATATGGCTCTAGACTCATTCTTCTGCACATGGATAGCCAGTTTTTCCAGGACCATTTATTGAAGAAACTGTTTTTCTTCCAGCTTATGTTCTTGGCCCTTTGTCAAGAACTGGATGGCTGGAGGTGTGTGGTTTATTTCTCCACCTTCTATTCTATTCCATTGGTCAACATATCTGTTGGGAGACAAGTGCTTTGCTGTTTTTATTACTGTAGCTTTTTGGTATAGCTTACATTTCTGGATTGTGATGCCTTCAGCTTTGCTCTTGTTGCCTAGGTTTGCCTTTGCCATTCTGGGTCCATATAAATTTCACAATTGCTTTTTTTCTCATTTTGTGAAAAATGTGGATGATATTTCAGTTGCATTCACAATAAATGTGTATCATTTTTTGTTATTGTGGCCATTTTGACAATATTGATCTGCCTATCCAAAAATAGGGAATGTCTTTTCATTTTCCAATGTCCTTTTCAATCACTTTTTTCAAACCAATGCAGTTTTTATTATACAGGTCCTTCATTTCCTTGGTTAGGTTAATTCCAAAATATTTAATTATTTGGAAGCTACTGTAAAAGGGGTTGTTTTACTGCTTTTTTCTCAATGGGTTCATTTTCAGTGCATAGAGATTTTACTGGATTTTGTGCATTTATTCAGTATCTTGCCATTTTGCTGCACTGATTTGTTAGTTCTAAAAGTCTTCTGGTGGAGTATTTTGGATCTTCTATGTAAAGGAATATGTCTTTTGCAAATAAGATTACTTTAATCTCTTTTTCATTCAAATCTCTTTTATTTCTTTCTCTTGCCTTATTTCTCTGCCTAAAGATTTGAGTGCTACATTGAACAAGAATCATGAGAGTGGAACCTTGGCCATATTCCTTGATTTTAGAGGAAATACTTTCAGCTTTTGCCCACTTATGATGTTCACTGAGGGTTTGACATAAATGGCTTTTATCCGTGTGAGATAAGGTCCTCCTATACCAGATTTCTGCTGTTGATTTCTAGTTTTATTATGCTATGATCCAATAGTATGCAGAAAGTTATTTCCTTTATGGCATAAAATGTGGTCTATTTTGGAGAAAGATCCATGTACTGCTAAGAAAAAAATGTATATTCCATTGTCAGATGAAATACTCTGTAGATACATGTTAAGTCCATTTGTTCAATGGTGCGGCTCAATGTAGATACTTATTTGTTGATTTTTTGTGGTTGACTTCTCTATTTATGAGAGTGAGATATTGAAGTCCCCCACTATGGTTTTGTTGATGTTTCTGTGACTTTTATATTCAGTAATATTTGTTTTATGAAATTTGGTGCCAGAAATTTGGTGCATATACATTTACAGTTGTTTTTTCTTCCTTGTTGAATTCCCTTTACCAATATGTAATGACCTTCTTTGTCTTCTCTGATTATTTTTGGCTTGAAGTCCACTTTGTCTGAAAAAAAAGTTTGCTACTCTTGCTTGTTTTGGGCTTAAGTTGCATGAAGGGCTGTTTTCCATCCTTTCACTATCAGTCTATGTATTTCTTTGTAGATACCATGTCTCTTGTAGTCAATGTGGACTTTGTTTTTTTTTTTCTTATTCAATCTGACAATCACTGTCTTTTGAAGAGTATTTACATTGAGTAATTACTAAAAGGTATTGACTCAATCCTGTCATTATATCTTTCTTCTGATGCTAATTCCTTTTTTTTTTTCCTGTTTAACTCCTCGCCCAGTTGGATATAGTATTTTCTTTGGAATCTTTGGTGATGTTAACCGTATTTTCTCTACCTAGGTTTCTTTTGAATACTTTGCAATCCTGGTTTGGTGGTCATGAATTTTTCATGTATTCTTTTTCATAGAAAGTCTTTATTTCTTCATAAATTTTGAAAAATAGTTTTGCACAATATATCTGGGTTGAAAATTATTTTTTTAGGGCTCAAAAACTTTGTTCTAAGCTCTTCTGAATTTTAAGGTTTGTAGTGAGAAATCTGCTGTTATTCTGTTAAGGTTTCCATTATAAATTACTTGATTTTTTTTCCAACAGCTTTCATGATTTCTCTTTGTGTTTAAATTCTGGAATTTTTAACTGTGATATCTCCTAGAGAAGTACTTTTCTGGTCCTGACTATTTGGAATTCTATTCTGGAAGCATGCATTGAATATTTTTCCTGGATTTATCAAAACTTGGATGATTTTGGGTGAATAAGTTTCTATATATTTTGTACAGTCTTCTAACTTTTCCTTAACCCCTAATTATTCTTATGGGATTTTTTTTATCATCTAGAAGCTGTTAGATCCAGTTTTCATGGTGTCCTGTTGTCTTTTTGGATATTGCTGAGTACCTGATCTACTATTCACTTTGTCAAGTTTTGACACAATAAGCTGCCCACACTTCTAATGAAATTTTTTATATTATGAATTTCTGCTTGATTTTTTTCATAGTCTCTAATTCATTACTAAAATGGTCCTTCATATCTTGTGTCATCCTATTTAATTTGGTCAGCTTTATATTTGTGTCTTCTTTAAGATCATTGAACATTTATCATTTTGGTCCTTCATCTGTTTATCTACATGTTCTTTGAGCTCCCCGAACATCTTATGGATCTTTTTGTTTCTTCTTTGATTCCTTCAAATATTTTAACCACTTGGATTTTTTTCCATTAAGTTTATTGGTACATTTTAGGTATACAATACAGTTACATTCATCATTGGGATCTTGTACATTTACATGATGTATCTTGGTTCTTATTTTTTCCCCATTCCCCTGCCCTCTCTTCACCCCCTCCACCCTTCCCTATTTACAAAGACTTTTTTTCCATTTACCACTTGGATTTTCACTTCCTCCACTTCTGTGCCCATGAGATCAGCTTTTGGAGAGTTAAGAACTTTTGAAAACATACTGCTGCCTTCTTTTCTCATGTTTCTACTATTTTGTGTTGAAGACTGAGGATCAGTTAGGGTGGAAAAACTCTGTCACTGCCATAGAAATCCATTTAGTTAGTCTACATTTCTTTGTAATGTGTTCTTGGATTTGCTTTGTTTGGTGATTTACACACCTCTTAAACCTACTGAACATAATAGAAACAATCCAAGTCACTGCACTGCGAGGAGTTCTACTACCAGTTATATCAGCATCAACAGAGCAAATCACATATCAATCATGTAATATAAAACTTGTTTAAACAATTTTACCTTTTTTTCAATGACCAGAAAGACTGTGAGGCAGTTCTTATGATAAATAGGCTGGGAAATAGAGGATGAGGTATGGAAAAAAGGAAGAGAATTTTTCAGAAAGAAGGAAGTTAAAAAAGATATAATAGTAAATGAAAGAGGGAAAGAGGTTTTTGTTGGTATTGTTTTATTTCTGGAGTAGAGGGCTGGTGGAGAGGGTGCTTGAGAGGTTACTTGTGGGGTGCAAAGAGTAAAAGAAATATAATTAAAAATTGAGGGAAGCTGTGGAGAAGTTGCCACCAATTAATATGCTAATAAAATATAGATAGATGATAGATAATTTCTTTTTGGTACCGGGGTCAAACTCTTGCAAGGCAGGTGTCGGCACCACTGAGCTAAATCCCTGGCCCCACTTTAATTAGATTTTAAAAGCCATATGTGTATTCTGGCATGGTAGCCTAGCACTTGTAATCCCAGCACTTGGGAGGCTGAGGCAAGAGGATTGCCACGAGTTTGAAGCCAGCCTGGGCTATATCACGAGTTCAAAGCTAGCCTGAATTAAGTGAGATCCTATCTCAAGAAAAATAGAAACCAAAAAAAAGCCACATATACCTAGCGACTACCCTATTTGTGAGCCCTGGTTGAGATTTATCAAATGTCAAATATCATATACCACTAAGACTTTCTGCATCCTACAAGATAAACTTTTTTGTTTTGCTTTGTTTTGTTTTTAGACAGGGACTTGCTATGTGGTCAAGACTGGCCTTATATTTGCTGTGTCATGCAGCCTTCCCTTGAATATGTGATCTTTTTCCATCAGCTTCCCAAGTGCTGGGATTACAGCCATGTGCCATCATGCTCTGCTAATGTTACTTCTTTGAAAAGTTAATTTTCAGTATATCATGAAAACAATTTCTTTCTTACCCCTTTTCCTTCTACTGTACTCTAATAAATAAGTACAAATATAATATATTGATTAAAGTTTTTTAATGTTTGTAAGTCTTGTTTTGGGATAGACCTACAAAGAAGACTTTTAAATCGTAAGTGCTTAGTAAGCCCATAACTGCCAATCTAGGGGATGTCTAGAATCCATGTAAATACATATTTTCTATATCTTAATTGGGGAAGAAAGAGGAAAAAAGAAATACTGGTAATATATAAGCCACTTTCACCTACCTTCTGGCTATGCATATGCAAAGGAACAACTTTGTGAAGATAGCCCTGATGTGGGTTCCATAAAATTCCTGTTCAAGTGCTTGCCTTCCCCTGGAATTTTAATAGAGTATTACCTGTGAGAACGATTCAGTGCAATCACTTATGCTGTGCTTCTACCTTGCAGCTGCTCCTCCTTGTTCTCATGATGATCAAGTTCTCACCACATCAAGCCAGCTAACTGCTTCCTGATTTTGGAAGCCACAAATCTCTATGTCCATCACCTACTTGACACTTGGCCAAGTTCACTCACGTGAAATCAAATGTGCCTGTGCTTTTCAAACATGTTCTGTATTTTCTCTCTCCCTCCTGAAGCTGTGATTCACAGGTCATCCCTTTCCTGATCTTTTTTTCAACTTAGATTTTTCAGTCTTTGTCAAGGAGCCTTGGGTATAACTCAGTAGAAGCCAAGCATGTGTGAATTTCAATCTTGATTCAATCTCTAGCACCAAAAAAAAAAAAATCTAAATAAAATAACCTAACGTAAATATGCTTAGAGTCTACTATCTTGTATAGACAGCATAATAACCTTCAGAAGATGTCCATACGCCAATTCCTGAAGCATGTGAACATGTTGTTTTACACAGCAAAAGACACTGGTATGATAAAGCTAAAAGTCTTGAGTTTGGGAGATTTTCCTGGGCCAGACATATGGGCCCCATGGAATCACAAGAGGTTTTGTAAGTGAAAGAGGGAAGCAGGAGAGTCAGAGGAGGAGAGGATATGGCAATGGAAGTAGAGGTTGGAGTGATGAACTTTGAAAATGGTAAAATGAGACATGGGAGAAGGGAAAGAGGTGATTCCAGAAGTTAGAAACCCAAGAAAACAGTCTCTCCCTAAGATCCTTCTGAAGGAACCTGACTTTAGCCCACATCTGACTTCTGGCTTTCAGAAGTGCAAGGTAAATTTGTGCTATTTCAGGCCACTAAGTTGATGATGATTTGTCTATTTATAAGTGTCTGTGGCTTTTATGGAACCCTCAACACTCTGTAGAAAGCAAGATCAGTTACCACTAATGTAAAAACAATAAAAGATTTGAATATCACACTGAAGGAGAAAATGGTTAAGTACCATAAGGCAATTCTTGCATCTTTTATTTGAAAGGATTTTTCTCCAAACTGGATAACTTTCAAATAAAGAAATGTGGTTATATTGTTACACTAAGTAATTTTCCACTTCTTAAGAAAAATGGTTTTGCAGAACAGAATTAGTGTTTGTAGCATTTGTCATTTTTTGTACTGTTCTTCATGAGGAAGAGACTTTCCTCTACCTTATTATGCCCTGTGTCTGGAGGCCTCAAATAAAACTAACAAAAGAAATATTAGTGGGAGAAAAAAGGCACATGACCTTTATAGGAGTTCACCAAAAAAAAGAAGGAAAATTCAAGAAAGCAATTAACCTTGGGGGCTTATATGCTCTTTTACCAATGAAAACAGGGTTTGGGGGTTAAAGGGATCATGAATTGTGGGGAAATGACTAAAAATATTAGGAGAGAACTAAAGGAAGGTAAGGGCTATTTCAGTAGGGTCTGTTTGTGTAAATTTATCTTGGTGTAGACTCCCTGTCTTTGACTATAAGACTCACTTTTCTCTCTGATGGGGAGGAGGTAGGAGCTTATGGTGGGGCAAACTGAGTGAGTGACCTGTCAATCATGGAAGACCCAGAACACATGGCCAAAACATTCATGACTATGCAAGTTCCTGAACCCTTTGTGTGAGACTGACTGGACCAACTGAAAAGTGCCATCTCCAATTTTTCATTGACATCTGGTGCAAAACCAAGCAGACTTTTGATCTGATGTCAGGCCTAGTGAGTTTCTGGTAGGACGCCCATCCCAATGCCTTGTTTCCATGGGAATGAAGCCATCTAGAAATGGGACATACAAAAGAACCTGACCGTTAGTCTCCTGGCCACTGGGAACTTTTTACCAGTCTGTTCTCCCACTGCAGAGCGTGTTACTTTCTCCACCTTCAATAAATGTAAATGCTTTATACATTTTCTGCATTTCGTGTCCAATTCTTTATTCAGGAGACCAATAATCTAAAAAGAATCTTCAGACTCCAAAAGCTGGTAACATTTTCTTGGCAAGTCAGCAGAAATAAGGCCCTTTGGGCAATGTTTCTCTCTCTCTCTCTCTCTCTCTCTCTCTCTCTCTCTCTCTCTCTCTCTCTCAATCAAGCCAAGAAGGAAACACTGGTTTACTTTTTCATTTCCTCCTCTTTCCTTCAGCAAATTCCCAATCTCTTTCTTGTCCTTTCTCTCCATTCAGGCTTTCATCTGTCCAAAAACTCAAATCCTTTAACTTTTTTTCTGATATTAGTTATCAGAGAGAGGCAGGGAGCTGAAGGGCAAAAAAAAAAAATATGGAAGCTGTGGAACTGAAGAAGTTTCTCATGGCTCAGGAAGCAGTTCCCTGGCATGTCCTGCCATGTTGAAAGGGGAAGAGGAAGTGTGTGGCTTCTGTTTGTCCAGCTACCTCTTGGTTATCTCCCTTTTTTCTTTCCACTCTTTCCAATTATTTGTCACTCACTGTAGATACAAGTCAATTAAGAGTTTCCAGGACATTTTTCATTAACCCACACACAAAACAGACCATTTGAGGCTCTGTCAGGCCCATAAAAACCATAGGTTCCATGTGTGTGGCCTAAAGTTTAATATGACTCCTTTGCTCCCACATTTTTGTTCTTGCCAGTACTTCATTCAGCATTCACATTTGTTTGGGGAAAATAGCTATCAGTAACTTAGTCTCCTGCTTGAATAGCCACATACCCTAGCCTGTGCCTTTTTGGGCTCAAAATCTCATCTGTGGGCCAGGAATTTAGCTCCATGGTCCCACAACTGCCAGGGAAGCACAAGGTCCTAAGTTCGATCCCGGGTACCAAAAAACAAAAACAAATTTCTTCTGCGCTTTCCCCCAGAAGGGCTTTAATCTATAGATAACATTAGGGAGTCACTTATTCAGGGTCCCATTTTCTAAGACCTCAGGGAGCCAACCCAATTTATCTTTCCACCATGTTGACTCACCATTTTGGTTTGCCATGTAGGTCTGCCATGTTGGTGTACCACGTTGGTTAGCTATGTTGGTTCTACCATGTTGGTTCCACCATGTTGGTGCCACCATATCAGTCAGCCATGTTTATCAGCCATGTTTTCCCAGCTGACTTTGTGAACATCAGAAAACCTCCTCCTTATAAAGAGCTAAGGTCTCCACTTTGGGGAAACATATAAGACTCCTCCCCTCTTCCTTTCTGGATCTGGTTAGATCTCCATGATTCTTCAATCCCAGTGTTAAAATGAGACTGGGGGTCTCCTGAGGGCATGAGGATGTGAAAAAGACGCTGAACAGCAAATCTAGACATCAGAAATCCTTTGTCTAGGTCACCTGGAGCCTGCTGATCTTTTAGGAACATCTGCATTGTATCTAAAGTTATACATTAGAGTTTCAAATTGACAAGGCCATTTACTCTGGCCTCACAGAAGCCCCTTTAGTTTTAGATAAAGGAATCTATACACATTAACTTTTAGATAAGATGAGGTCTGGCTCATTGGGAGGAATGGTTTCATCTTAAGCAGTTCCGGGTCAGTGTTACTGTATTGTCTTGTGTCAACTGAGTCCTTGCTGAGAAAGAATGCTGTAATGGACTGAATCAGTCCGCTGCAGACCGGCAGGTCTTCAGACGCGGTCCCGAGGTCACCAGTCGTGCTGAAAACACTGAATCAGCCCGTGCCCCAGCAGCAATTGACTGGACCCCTCCCCCCTCCTTTGGTCTCTTCTCTGTACAGCCACCTGGTTCCACACTACAAAGACGCAGAGGACACCGGACCACCAGACCACTGTACTGGAGCTAATCAAGTTCTCAGCATTTAAAGAATTCCTGCCCAGGGGTAGGGGCTTCTGAGCCACTGTCCCACTGCTCCTGGTCCAGAGGAAGAGGCTGCCCAGCCACCATGCCTCCCACCACTCCCAGCCCAGAGGAAAAGGCTTTTGGACTGCCCTATATCCGGACGCTCCCGGCCCAGAGGTAGGGACTTCTGAGCTCCCGTCCCACTGCTCCTGGTCCAGAGGAAGGGGCTTCCGGGCCGCCAAACATCCTGCCGCTCCCGGCCCAGACAAAGGGACTTTCGGGCCACCATCCCTACCGCCGCTCCAGGCCCCTGGCCCACCTCTCCCAGCTCAGAGGAGGTGAGCCACATGGACACCAAGAGCACCCCCCCTGCTCCCCCAGTCGAAATGAGAAAACACATAAATAAGTCTCAAAACCAGACTTCCAGATCACCTACAGCAACCCCAAAGGGAAATGAGATGGAACA